AGCATGAGGTGGGCCGGTGCTCCTGGAGGTGCCCCTTCTCAAGGGGCGCCCTAGGCGGCTGCCTAGTCCACCTAACAGGTAGCGCCGGCCCTGCCTTTAAGTGTGTTTCTCTGACTCTGCCTCTTCCCCCCAACCACTCTCTGTCAGGGATTCCCAAGGTTCTGTCCTCGGTTCCCTACTGTTCTCTATCTATACTACCTCCCTTGGTAAACTCATCACCTCCTTTGGCCTCCAATATCACTTCTATGCGGATGACACGCAAATCTATCTGTCCTCCCCTAATTTCTTACCACTCATCTTGACTCGTGTCTCTTACTGCCTCTCTGTGATTTCCAGCTGGATGGCTGCTCACTACTTAACCTGTCCAAAACAGAACTTCTTTTAATTCCTTCCTCAATTGTTAAAACATGCTAATCCCATGTCCGTCTCCCTCCAAATCAATGGCACTCACAGGCTCGCTGCCTAGCTCGCTGCCTCTTTGACTCCAACCTCTCCTTCACCCTCATGTCCAGTCACTCACCAAATCCTACTGTTTGTATCTCAAAAACATAGCACACATCTGCTCCTATCTAACACCGGTGATCTTCTTAGCTTGCCCCGTTACAGTCTATAATGAATGCAGCGGTGAGGCTTATATTCCTGTCCGCCTTCACCTCCCATGCCTCCCCCTCTGTTAGCCCTGACACTGGCTTCCGGAAGATTTAGAGCTCAATTTAAGCAATGTTTGCTTACAAACCTCTACATAACACTGCTCCTACCTACCTATCCATACTGATACACAAATATAGGGCCTTATGCTTTGCTGAAGATCTGCGTCTATTCTCTGTTCGTACTCGCACCTCTGATGCCCACCCTTAAGATTTCTCTAGGACTGCGCCGTTCCTAATGAACTCCCTTCCCTGCTCTGTTAGACTCTCATCGAGTTTTAGTTCCTTCAAAAGATCATTAAAAACTCACATCTTTAGAAAAGCTTGTCAATTGCTTTACTCTCTCCTCCAACTCTGCTTCACTCCCACCCTATTTGATTGATATTTCCTGTCCTAACATACCCCACCTCCTATAGACTGTAAGCTCGTTTGAGCAGTGTCCTCTTCAACCTATTGTTCCTGTAAGTTTTCTTGTAATTGACCTATTTATAGTTACATCCCCCCTCTCATAATATTGTAAAGCGCTACGGAATCTGTTGGCGCTATATAAATGGCAATAATAATAATTTCCCTCCCTGCACCTTGGTTACCTACCCTGCTTCCTCTTCTGCAACTGTGTCATCCAAAAAACTAACCATTTACTGAAATGTAAGCTATTCTAGTAACCTACTTTTTCCTGTACATGAAATATGACCTTCCGTTACCTTTTGTGTGACTTTACCCCTCTCCCTTTAGAATGTAAGCTGGTCTGAGCAGGGCACTCCACACCCTCTGTTCCTGTGCGTCCAACTTGTCTTGCAATTACATGTCTGTTAGTCCACCGATTGTACAGCACTATGGAATTTATTGGCCCTTAATAAATAATATTAATATTAATATGTGCAGGATGTAAGTCATTAACTCTTAACCTTAACATAGGAGCTTGTAAGGAAACACCTATGAATTCAGCCCCTTCCTCCCTATGCAACATCTCAAAAAATCCCACTTATTAATTAAACCAACCCCATGATGGGAGCTAGATGATTGACCACCGAAATTAAGGACAAAGAACGGCTTTTAAGTGCTGATAAAGCAACCAATAACGGCACAAGTCCACTTATTCAAGAAATAAAATGATTCTAAATAGCTATAAAATGGGGATATAGCTAAAAGTATTCATTTCTGTAGTGCAGGCTATTATTACCTATTGTTAAAAAGAAAGAACATTGTTTTAATGTACATTTTACTGATTGCCGAGCACCCTGGCATCACAGGAGTGAAGATCTACCTATATATACATATAATTACTACTTTAAAAGCTGTTGGCATTGAAAGAAAAGTTAGCAACAAACTAACTGAGGCTATTTCTAAACTAGAACCATTTGTCATTTGCTTTCTGGTTTATATTGGACTACATTTCCCATAATGATCAGCAATTTGAGAAATCTTAAAGGGTTACTCTAACCCTGTGGAAAGCCTTACTGGGCAGCCGTGGTCAACTCACCCCGTTATAGGCCTGAAAAATAAAGATAAACTTACCTGGAAGCTCCCCTGGTTGGATTCCATGTTGCCTCCATTGCCACATCCTCTCTCACGTCTTCCTGGCTCATAGTGTGTGCATGTGAGGGAGTGAGGGCTTGGACGGGTAGGGATGAAGGGGATGTAAAAAAAATGAAACCGAGCAATATAGAGATCCACATCCTCTCTCACGTCTTCCTGGCTCATAGTGTGTGCATGTGAGGGAGTGAGGGCTTGGACGGGTAGGGATGAAGGGGATGTAAAAAAAATGAAACCGAGCAATATAGAGATGCGAGGACTGAAGGGAAGGTTTGAAGGAGGGAGGGAAGATCAAATTTCCCCTTATAGGAGCACTGCTTACAAGGGATAAGATGACCAGGTCTATTACCAGCGCTCTACGCACGTTAACGACAGCTGTAAATTTTACACAAAAGTGATGTTAGGCAGCCCAGAACAGAGTTCTAGGCTACCTGAGTCAGGTGTGCTGGGGTGTAAAAAGTTAATATATCTCATTATATGCAGCATTTCAAGCAGAAACACGGCACACAGACTCCCTGAAAGCAGAAATGGTCATGGTGGTTAAGTCAACAAAAGCTGGACTGAAGAGATTGGACACGTTTTGATTGAAGCCACTGGCTGCACTCTGGAGAAGGATCTATGGGACTAGATAAGACACAGGTGTCAGAATAGGATTGAATATGATTGAATAATAACAGTTGCAGGTGTAAAGATCAAAAAATAATAGGTTAATAACAGATGGCAGTGTGAAGACCAGGAAAAATAATGGGAACTGTAACGGATCACCTGGCACACCGACTGGGTATCTCCATTGATGGATGCTCCTAGCGCTTCTTGAGGATTCCAAGCTCTCTAGCTGACACCACAACCATCACAGGCCAAACCTCTCTTCCTTCAGAGCAAAGCAGGAACAAGCTCTTAAAAGAGATTAGAAGTGATTATAGCAAGGGAATATACAGAGCATAGCAATCCCTTGTAGCAGATTGCCCCAATAAGAGACAGGACTCCAAATGGAGAGTGAAGTAGAACTGACTAAAACTTTATTTTACTTGGGACTAGCCCATATGGTCAGTACATTAACATTGCTATGAAAACTCAATAAAATTACAAACAGTCAAATCATAGCAGGCAACATACAGTGACTTATTATAACATAATTACATATTTATAAATGGGTGGGGAAGACCATAATTAACACAAAATCCATCCTGCATGCAGAATTAGATATATGCAAATCTACCCGAATATGCAAATTACCAGTCTTGCTATTCAGGTAGTGCATATTACTGTTGCTACCAACAGAGGGCACTACACAAGCTCCATAGCCAAATCCACCTAGTTGGTAGCAATACTCAGCAGTACAGGAGAGCAGGCAATACATCCCAGGGGCCATAGTCACATGGCAGGAGGCTGGCAATCAGTCTTCTCCAAAGCCCAGTGGCGAGGCTGGTTCTGCCACAGGAACATTGAGGTAGGTTTGGGTAGGGACACAGAAGTTGCAACCCCATACATATTTCTTGTGTAGATATATTCAGGAAGTGAAAAACTGGCAAGTGACCAGTCGCAACAAGAGAAACAAATTGTCACTTGTTTTAGTTTGTTTAAACTCCATAAATGCTTAAAGGATTACTGCAATCACTTCTTCTTTTAGAATGGTCATAGTGGTAGGCAAGGCCACTGGGCATTTTTTAATCACAGCGGTCCACTAAGAAGGGGGCGGGGCAGAGGAGGTGTGTTTTGTCATCACCAATGACAAGCATGCCCCCTCTTAAAGTGAACGTGTTGGTTCAATGCTCTTCCGGGGCAGACCATGCGCAGAGCTCTGCTGAAGAGCTCTAGAATGAGAAAAAAGCCCTGTATTTGTTCTGCACAGTGCAAGCAAATGTAATAACATGCTTGCACTGTGTTTCCTTGCAACTTGTTTCTGGTGTCTCTATAAATGGGATACCAGGAGATAAAAGGGCCAGGAAAGAGTATTGTGCATGTGTTTGGAGCCTGCTTGTGGGATTACGTGTGTGTAGAGTGAGCTGATTGTGGTGTGGTATTGTGTAATAAGGTCGGTTTTACTTGTGTTGTGTTTGTGGTGTGATGTAATGCATGTGTATCTAGGGGCTGTAGAGAGTGTGTGTGTATAGGGGAGGCAGTATGTGTGAGGGGTGCAGTGTTTGTGTGAGGGTGTGAGGGGTGCTTTAATGTGTGTGTATATATATATATATATATATATGTATGGAAGTATTGTGCGTGTGTGTGTGTGTGTGTGTGTGTTTGTGAGTGGAGCAGTATGTTGGGGGAGTTCTGTGTGTATGTGTGAGGGGTGCAGTGTGTATGTGTGTGTGAGGGGTGCAGTGTGTGTGTGTGAAAGGGGTGCAGTGTGTGTGATGGATGCTGTGAATGTGAGGGGTGAAATGTGTGTGTGTTAGGGTGCTGTGTCTGTGAGGGTGCTGTGTGTGAGGGTGCTGTGTATGTGAGGGCGCTGTGTGTTTGTGTGTGTCTGAGGGTGCTGTGAGTGTAAGGGTGATGTGTGTGTGTGAGAGGGAGCTGTGTGTGTGCGTGTGAGGGTAATGTGTGAGAGGGAGCTGTGTTTGTGAGGGAGTTGTGTGTGAGGGCGATGTGTTTGATAGTGCTGTGTGGGTGTCAGGGTGATGTGTGTGAGAGTGCTGTGTGTGAGAGTGCTGTGTATGGGAGTGCCGTGTGTTATAATGTTGTGTGTGTGAGAGTGATGTGTGTGAGGCATTGTATCCCCCCTCCCTTCTTACCGGGGATCGTGCTGCTGCCATCCCTGGTGGTCCTAATGATGAGTGAACTCTAGCCTGTGGGGCTAGAGTTCACTCTCTTGAGATCGGGTGGCGTTGCCATGGCAATATTCCGGATATTGCGAGAAGTACCTGGCGGAGCTGCAAGATAGAGCTCCAATGGGTCCTCTCTCCCTCCGCAGCCGCACGTCTGTGCAAGTGGGCCAGTAAGGGAGATCTTTGATCTCCCCACTGGCCAGTCATGGAATGCAGCAGGGCCGGCGCTCTGATAGCGTGGGGCCCTGCATGGACCTGCCAGGCTTCGGCCCATGGCCGGCTACGGCCCATGGCCATTGCCCAATGCCCTCAACCCCTCTGTTCCTGTGTGTCCAACTTGTCTGGTTACAACTACATGTTTGTTTGTTCACCCATTGTAAAGCACTGTGGAATTTGTTGGCGCTATATAAATAATAACCTAATAATACGTAAGGAGTACAGCAGCAGAACACTCTTTTCAAGCATTCAGTGCAATGTATATTTGCTCTTATGGCAACAGCATTAATCCTGTCGCAGTCAGATGGTTCCATCTCTGTACGGGCAAGCGGGGCTGTCTGCCAGTCTGGCAGTTTCAGGGTTACTCTGTAAGAGGGCTCCCATCATTGCACGTTTCCAACCCCTGTGATTGGGATTCCTAACACTAGGCTCAGGTTAAGAACACTTTCCTTGTGTGTGATAACACAGGAAATCAGTTTAGAGGCAGAATAAGCCTGCCTGACCCTTCTTACTACCAGTAATCCCAAGCAAGAGATCTTCTAATAAAGTAAAACACCTTTACAGCAATTTGCGCACATCAGATGGCGGCGGCTCACGCTCACTAGGGGATGCTGGAAGTCTAAATGCTGCTAATACGATCAGTCTTTCTTTCTTTGGTTTTTTTCGATTCCATTATCCATTTAGCCGTCACCATTCACCATGTGCTATGCTGCTCTGTGTGTCTTGCAGTCAGGTTCCTTTAGAATGCTTTATTTACTTTGTCATCTCAATGATTGTAGGCTCTAAGAACGAGGGGGCTCTCACTAAGTGGGTATAGAGATGTGGAACACTTGGGTTAATATGACTAAGGAAACCCTAGAACAAACTACAAAAGCCGGTGCTGTCACCCCAGAAACCACTAGAGTACTCTCAGCATAATTAGCTGTTACCAAAAGGTGCAGAAATTGGGCAATATGTGTATTGCTAACTAAATCAATATTAGGCACGGAGAAGCATT